TGCGGCTCATCTGCTTCGTTCTTTTTTATCGCCTCTCTTTCCCGGAACTGATTTTTGGCTCGGTCGCTGAGGAATTCCCGGAGGTGACCATTGCTGAGTAGTCGGGCCACTTCTTCCCGAAGTTGTCGACAATCTTTGGTCCTGTGACCGTGCGTATTGTGAAATTCACACACCAAGTTATGATTTCTTTGCGAAGGATCTGATTGCACAGGCCTTGTCCACCTGGTGTCTCTAATTTTACTGATGCGAATACGATGTCCGAAACATCAATATTGAAGTTGTATTCCGACAAGCGGGGTGCCACCGTTGACCCTGAGCGCTTATCGAACCCGGCTCTGCTGACGAGTCCCCGAGGGTTCTGCCCTCGGCCCATTCTTTGATCATTCTGGGGTATGTCACGCCTCGGGGTGTTTCTCCTGTCTTCAGTGTATGGCTGATACCTTTCTTTGTTTGGCTTTGGGTCCTTCGCCAGAAGCCTGCTTGGATATACCGAGCCCGAGGGGGCTCCTAGTTGCTCGTTTTCGACCCTGATCTTTTATTGGTATCGGTTGTAGACGTCCGACCAAGTCATGGCCGGGTATTCAACTAGGTCTGTTTTGGGTACAGAGGGCCATAGGTTCGAATCCTGTCACCTTGATGTGGTAGCCTTCTCCGTTGTCAGACAGTAAGGCTTACTTGAACATAATTTCTCTCCACGAAAAGAAAGGAAATGGTTCATTCCACAAAATAAAAAGTTGTTTCAGCTATTTCGAAGCCACCGAGCTTCGTTCATTCAGACCTTGAGTGAAGGCCTGCACTGCCCAGTCGTCGGAGACCGATGGTAGCTCCATTCATTCCATATGAAAGTGAGATACGAACTCTCGCAACATTTCATTCTCCCTCTACTTGATCTTAAAGACGTCAGATTTCCTTGTCGCTACTTTGATGGCACCAGCATGTACCTTTATGAAAGAATCCGCCAGCATCGCAAATGAATCTATCGAGTTTGGGGCCAGGTTGTGATACCACATCATTGCCCCTTTAGAAAGCGTTTCTCCGAACTTCTTCAGTAGGACGGACTGGATCTCGTCGTCCTTTAGGTCGTTGCCCTTTACTGCACAAGTGTAAGCAGTAACATGCTCATTGAGTCTGAGGTTCCGTTGTACTTCGGAAGGTCTGGCATTCTGAACTTCTTCGGAATGGGTTTCGGAGCCGCTTCCCGTGGGAACGGCTTTTGCACGAACTTCTTTGAATCCATACCTTTCAGGATCGGAGGTGCGCCCGGAATCTGGTCGACCTTGGAATTGTAGGTCTCGACCTTTTTGTCGTTGGTTCTATCTTCTTCTCGCCTGACTCGATCCTCTTTGTGAGGTCCTCGAGCATCTTTACGATGGCTGAGTCGACTGACGACCCGTTGTTGCTTGACCTCTCTGGTGCCTGCTCGGCTAGGGGAGCCGTCCCCAGTGCTACCGTGCTGGGAGTTTTCTGGTGACTTTGCAGCTGAGCGATCGCCAGCTGTTGTGCCTGTAACATTTCAAAAATAATGTGAAGGCTAACCTCTCATTCTTCCCTAGCTAGGGTTTTTTGAGCATCTTGTTGATCTTCTTGGTGTATGCTCCTGTTGGTGTGGGAGCTTACTTCGACGTGTTGAGCGTTGCGCGAGACCACGTCCACGGGAATTGATTCTGGTGCATTCTCAGGGTTTTGTGGTGGCATACCAACACCTGGGACGTCAACACCATTTTCCCCATGGTCTTCAAGATCAATGTTTTCACGTGCGTTTACTGAGTTAGACATTTTAACCTGAAATCAAAGATCTTGGATAAGAAAAAGTGTGAAAGATAACTTGCGTTTCGTAGCTAAACCAGCAAGAAAATAATCACTATTATTTTTAGCCCCACGGTGGGCGCCAAACTGTTTACCGTGAAAATGCTAATTACAATTAAATTTGATTTTGTGGTTCTAAAAATACGTGATCTATTTTTATGCTAGTTTTTAAGCAATGGATGCTAAATAAAAGATTAGAAATCAAGATTGCAGCTAAGAGACGGTATGATAATCGAACCAAACAGTTGGGGATCGGGGCCTCGAGCTCGCTTATTCGGGGCCTCGAGGTCGAGTCCTATACTCTGCCGTGGGCCGTCGATGGAGGGATTGACTATGATGATAGATTCAATGACGGCTCTTTATGGCCACTAATAAGCAATAAATGAAGAACAATAAATAGAACACAATGAATGTAAGCAATAAATGGAAGTAAAGAGCTTAAGAGAATATGTTAGAGAGCAGAGAGAATGTTCTTATGTATTTAGTCTTGGGCAACAGATATCTACAAAATGACAAGGATCCCATTTATATCTGAGGGGAACATAGTACAAGTGCATTCATTACAAAGATATGGGGCTGACACAGCCATTTAATGCCCCGATACGGGTCAGAGATAGCTTACTAGACTTTGTCAGCTCTAGTCGTGCGCCTAGGGAACTTCACATTGGTCCACCGAGACCACTAAGTTGCATTGCCTCGAGACCGGCCATTATTTACGCTACCTCGAAGTCTACCACCGAGAACCCTCGAGATGTCTTGATGATCGCAAAATCGAACCGTCAATTTCTTCCGTATACAGTTTTATTGCCAACAGGTCGAGAATCAGTATTAGAGGCTGAATGGTTGCTTCGGAAGATGGTTCAGAAACAACAGCGTATCATTCCGGATTTTGTGCTAGAATTGCCATGAATTTCGAGGATGTTTGACATTATTTGGTAATTATGGACAACTAAGGGGATTTAATATTGGTGGTGAGTTCTCACATTTTGAGAGTTCGAATTTGACGATAAGGTTTTGCTTGAGCTATTAAGGGATTGTGAATTCTTGATTATCATCTAGGTGTGTATTATTGATACTCAATATTACCCTCATATTTTATAAAGTATTTCATATATTTTTCAAAATATTATTTTTCGTATTTTTATCAAATTTATATTACAAGATTTTATGCAAATAATTGTTATCCCTTTTTCGTAAGTTTTAAAATTGATCTTTGGCATTTTTAATTGATAAATATTAATTGATTACCCCTTCAAAATTATTTTTGGGTGATTAATTGTACAAATAATACCCTAATGAATATTTTATATTATTTTATTGTATTTTATATAATTATATTTGCATTTTTATATCATTTTGCATATCATTTGCAGTAGTAGCCACTATTTTTCAACAATTGTGTTTATTATACTTATTAGATCAAAATATTCTTTTTATATATTTTCTCAAGTGTAGTCTATTATTTTGAAAGTATTAATTCCAAAACAACATTTTTATATTATTTTATTATCATTTTTTAAATTATTTTCATTAATTTTTGTATTTTTAATATACCAGCCCAAAACTAGGCTAGAAACCGGACCAAAATAGGCGCAACCCTAGGCCCAAAACCCCAAATCCAAGCCAAATGACCCCTTTTTCCCTAACCCGATCGGGACCTGAATTTTAAACCGCCCCACCTTATTTTAATATTGCCTGTTGATCTTAAATGATCAACAGTCCACAATAAATCCCCCACTATCCTTATATCCCTCACTCCAAACCCTAGAGACCATTCTCATTCGCCCAGCCGCCCTCACACGCTCTCGTTTCCCTCCTCCCTTACTAAACCCTAGCCGCCTCACCAATCTCTCTTCGATTTCAACCAGGAGATAGAATCACCCCACGATCGCTTACCTTATTAAGAATATCTCGCTATTATGCACGCGTTCATGGGATTACCTGAGTACTTGCCCGATTTTGGCAAGTGTTAACTTCTAAGATTGGACTAGAGCAACTTTGATATGTGCGATTTGGATGATATTGTGACCATATATATGAGAGAAAAGGCGATTCTTAGCCTTTACCTGCTGACTTGCGACCAAGGAACCCTAATAAGGGTTTGAAAACAAATTTCTTTCCTTTGCCGATTACTTTACTGATTGCATGTGATATTTTCTACCCTTGTTCATGCCTGCTTGTCTATCAGACCTTGGATTTAGTTTCCCTAAATAGATTGTCTTACTATTACTTATTGTATGTACTTTTTTTATATTCTTTATTGCTATCTTCAATTTATTTCCTAATATATTGTCTTGCTATGAATTGCTATCAATGCTTCTTCCATATTCTTTAATCGAGGGTCTATAGGAAACAGTCTATCTGCCCTCCCAGGGTAGGGGTAAGGCTGCGTACATCTGTCACGACCCAAAACTACCATGTCGTGATGGTGCCTATCGTGGAACTAGGCAAGCCGACTCTTTACCAAAAACAACACAATTTGCAAGATAATTTTAAAGCTAACTTATAATAAAACTTCTTAAAGAAAATCTGAAAAATGAAAGTGCGGAAAGAAAAGCCCGACATTGGGGTGTAACTAGTCATGAGCATCCACTAAAAATCTGACCGAAGATACTGAGACTAACATAATCTGGAAATGTAACTACAAGAAAAATCGCCTTTAGGGACGAGAATAATGGTCCCTAAAAGTCCGATTCTGGTCCTTAAATATCATTAGAGACCAGAAAAATCTGGTCGTCACTGGTCGTTAAAGGCTTCGCCGCTAAAGGTTAATGACGAAGTGATTTAGTGACCGGTCCTTAAAAATCCTTAAGGACTGGTGTGATTCTGGTCCTTAATATACTTTCAGGGACCACATTTCTGGTCCCTAAAGAATGATAAAAAAGGAACATTGGATGCTGCATCTGGTGCCTATTAATTTGCAACGACAACATTTGACAGGTCCTAATAGAACTTTAAGGATGAAAATTTCTGGTCCTTAAAGATATTATGAAATGTGATCCCTAAGCAAATGTATTTTATGTTATGCTTTTCCGAAAATATTATTCCATCCATAATGTATATAATGAATGCATATAGACAAACTTAATATATATATATATATATATATATATATATATATATATATATATATATATATATATATATATATATATATATATATATACTTTTAATAATTACAAAAGAAAGGATTAACATTCCATTTGTACTATATTATTTACACACCCCTCGGGAAGAAAATAAATTAATATCACTTGCAAATAAAATGAATTGTTGTCTATAGTTCTGGGCAAATGATAATTAGCTTGTCAAGTTGAAGTAAATCTACATCTTCACTTGTAAACTGATATCACCAAGACCTGTGAGAAGTATGAAATGAATTTACTTAAAAAACTATAATAATCAACTAGAAACATTGGGTAACTAATTGCGAGAACTACATTATTTCATAAACTAATTGCAATATAACAATGCTTTGGTCATATAAGAAACTTGCATGAAGAAAGAAAACACAAAATCATGTCTGCAACTAAAACTCTATAAGAGACTCAAAAAATGAATTTGTTTCATCAATAACAAGGAGCACTACATCTTATTATGTACAAATAGGTTCCATAGGCTTAGAGGGAGACAAACAGATAATTACTTACCATATTACACCCCAAGTTGTAAGTGCCACGCAACATAAGAAACAAAGAATAAGTTGAACATTAGCGTTAGCAAGAATAATCCAAAGTCTCTAATGTAGCGTTAATAAGAATTAACACTCATTATTTAATACATATAAATATAGGATGCAAATTATAGGATCTAATAATATTATGTTATATAAACTACTAACAAATAAATTGCACTTTTAAAGCACATTTTCCTCCAGAGAATATCTGGCTCAGAAATATTTAAGAAAAAATTCAAAATCTGTGCCTTGTAACTTTTTCATTATCATAATCATATTTTGGGTTCTTCTATAAATAAGAAACTGTGAGGGGTTCATGTTCCTATCAGTTCAATGTAGCAAATTTCATATCACTCAATATAGATCAGGGTAAATTTACTAATGCAAAAATAAAAAAATAAACTACTGACAATTATCCTACATTTGAACCTAAAACTTGGTGTCCTTGCAATTAGTCATTAACTTGTGAGAAAATAATTAGCAATTCCATAATGATCAATACACATGCACATAGATATGTTTTTGACAAGTAAAAGAAACATAATTTTTATAGGAATCGTGAAAGAAATTTCTGTACCTGCTGTTTAACTCTCTCAAGTTTCAGCTCAAATTGTCCCAAAAATGGCATTGTTTCCAACTATCGAACTTACTCCTAGAAAGAGAAGGGAAAAGAATCAAGAAAAGGAACTTATCTGCCATATACTTGAATTTTAAAAAGCAAAAATTCTTCTACCTTTTTCCTCATACGACTTTCACACAGGGGGCTTCGATTTTGCTGCTAAACACAAAAGTGAGAGATAAAGAGAAAGTGGCTTTGGGTGCACACTCTGTCAGGAATACTCTATTGGTTGATAATCCCAGGTCAGAGGATACATTGTTCATAAAAGTAAAAAAAGTACATAATCAGATGAGAGTATGAGATTTACTACATGAAAAGTTGCAGTGTTACAACAAAAATAAAACCATATTTGAGAACCTAAGAAATGCATCCCAAGTGTTACAAGATTATATCATGAATATTCATGCGAACTTCAGAGTCACATATGACACAGAGATGCAGAGAATAGAAGACTAAAGTTTTAACTAATTGGTTAAGAAATGATATAGAGTGTAAGGTTGAGTTTCAGTCCACAAATAAATTGTATTTGCGTGAGTAGCAAAGACAAATTGAGAACCAGTAACAAAATCAGTAAAAGTGGATAGAGAGAATAAGAAAAAATTAAAAATTGATCCAGATTATAAGAAGGAAGTCTATCATTTCAACAGTGCAACATCCCTCACAAATGAACCACCTCCTTCATCAAAGATAACCTTAACAACCACTGCACCAAGATCAAATATCTTCATAAACTCTTATACAACCACAAGTACAATACTGATGCACTTATTCAGGTAACCTACTTGTGAAGAAACCATAAACACGTCTCATCTCTTTCAAGGTGTTCAACTTTAATACCACATTTCGCTAACGTTTCAATATTTTGTTTAAAACATGTCTTAGAACCATACAACAACATATTTAAAATTACTCATTTCAATCTATCATTGTCACAAAGGCTTTGCGTAGATGAATCTTTACTTTTTTTCTATAACTTCAATCCATCTACTACAGCACTGCTAGCAGCAAATAATTTTTCCACCACTTGAAATAGTCAATATCTAATAAATTCACAAGTTTAATTTCTATTAGCAAAACATAACTATCACTCATATTTAAAAGAAGATACATGAACTTGATAATCACCGTAGACTAGCAAGCTCAGTTAAGCACCTCACCTAATATCAACTGGTAACAAAGTACAATAATCCTATTGATTAAAGCTTCCTTTTAGTACGTAAAGGAGTGATTAGTAGCAATATTTGACATTTGTATAACAATATTAAGAAGCGCACTATAAAATAAATACCCAATTTCAGCAAAAACATGGATAATGTATCCATCAACAAAATAAAGAGCAACAATGAAAATAAATACCAAAAATCACTCACTGCGCCCATAAATGAAATGAAATAAAACCCACAAGAATTAATTGCAAAACCCAGCAAGTCTAAAATAGTGAGTGGAACAAAGGAACACTAACCGATGATTGGAACACTTCATCTCTTAAGAAAGTCGTAAAGATAATCAAATCTTGCATTCAAGAAATAAAATTGTCAGCGCACATATACAAGCATAGCTGAAGCAGATAAAGAGAATAGGATTATGGGAAGCAAAACTTATGAATTTCAAGCTAATACTCCTGGAAGCACCTTGGACCACAGTAAAACAATTCCTTTCCATCTCACTGCGGAGGCTGAAGTGAATAACACATGAGCTCTTCTTCTCAAAATGGCTCAAAGAGACGGCCTCGCCATAAAAACAGCTTATTTAATCACAAAATGCCAACTCAATCGCACTGATCTAACTTCAGTTGGTGGTGGAAAAAATTACCCAAAATAACGCAGAAAAAATTTGAATAAATTGAGGAATAGTCGTGAGCAGATTGATGATGGAAATCGTCACTTTGAATAATGAAATCAAGAATAGATTTTGATGAAACACCAAAACTAGTTGTCAAAGTGATAAGGATTTGGGGATTTTGAGAGAAACGTGAGAGATTGAGAGTAAACCCTAGTTCCTAAATGACGCCTTGGGGAATGTTTTTAAGTGTTTCTATTTTTTTATTTCTTTTTCTAGGTTTCTATCTCTTTATAATTATAAAAATATCAAAAACTTTAGAAGAAATTTTGGGCGGCACCTCAAGTCTCGCACTCCCGCTCTATTCTGCATATTAGGGACGAGAATTTTATAATTATAGGGACGAGATTCAGTTTCGTCGTTATTTAATTTAGAATTAGATACCAGAAATAAAACTAGTCGCTATAAGTAAACTTTTGACCAGATTTCAATCCCGTCGCTAAATGCTGGTCGCTGATGATCCTTTTTCTTACGTAACTACAAAAAAAACTGTAGGAAGATAGGAGGGAGAAGAATAGGTCTGCGATCGCCAGGAGCTACCTTGCCAACTTCGAGAAAAGTCTACAGATGGACTAGTCAACATCCGCTACCGGATCCTGATATGCCTGGATCTGCACACAAGGTGCAGGGAGTAACGTGAGTATGCCAACTCAATAAGTAACCAAAGTAAATAAATCCTGAGAAGTAGTGACGAGCAATAAAGCATAATAAGTTCATATCACGAAAATTATTACTTTAGTTACTCACTGAGTTGCGGGTCCTGATATGCCTGGATCGCACTTGCGGTTCCCACTCCGCAGGTGCTGAAACATCAGAAGCAGCAACTTCAACTACCTTATTCCACTTCCCAACTCTCCGTCAACCATTCGGATTCATCCCGAGGCCCTCGGGACCTCAACCTAAAATACCAACAAGCCACATATCAACATACGAACTTAGTCGAACCTTCGGAACACTCAAAACAACATCAAAACACCAAATTACCCTCGGATTCAAGCATAAGAACTTCAAAACTTCCAAATTCCGCAAACGACGCCGAAACCTACTAAATCACCTCCGAATGACCTGAAATTTTGCACACACGTCACAAATGAGACTACGAACCTATTCCAACTTCCGGAATTCCATTCCTACCCTGATATCAAATTTTCCACTGCCGACCAAAATCGACAAATTTTTCCAATTTCGCTAATTCTAGCCTAATTCTACCACGGACCACCAAATCACATTCCGGACGCGCTCCCAAGTCCAAAATCACCCGACGCAGCTAACCGAACCATAAAAATCCAAGTTCGAGGTTGTTTACTCATAGGTCAACATCCGGTTGACTTTTCCAACTTAAACTTCTAAATAGGAGACTAAGTGTCTTATTCCGCACCGAAACCACTCCGAACCCAAACTTACCAACACCATACGATGAAATACAGCCGAGGAACACATAAGAAGCAGAAATAGGGGAAACAGGGCTATAACTCATGAAACGATCGGCCGAGTCGTTACATCCTTCCCCTCTTAAACAAACGTTCATCCTCGAATGGGTCTTGAAACATACCTGAAGCCTCAAATAGGTGTGGAACTCAGCTTCACATCTCCTGCTCGGTCTCCCAAGTAGTCTCCTTCACAGGCCGACCTCTCCACTGCACTTTTACTGAGCTATATCCTTTGATCTCAACTTTCTGACATGCCGCTCCAAAATAGCCATTGGCTCCACATCATAAGTCAAATCACCATCTAAATGAACCGTGCTGAAATCCAAAACATGAGACGGATCGTTGATATAGTTTTGGAGCATAGAAACATGAATACCGGATGCAAACCCGATAAGCTAGGTGGCAAAGCAAGCTCATAAGCCACCTCCCCAAGCCTCCGACACACCTCAACCCAATGAATCGAGGGCTCAACTTACCCTTCTTCCCAAATCTCATAACACCCTTCATCCTCCTTCCCAAATCTCATAACATCCTTCATGGGTGAAACCTTTAGTAGGACCTTCTCCCCAACCATGTAAGACACATCACGAACCTTTCTGTCAGCATAACTCTTTTGTCTTGATTGTGCTGTACGAAGCCGCTTGTGAATCAATTTCACCTTGTCCAAAGCATCCTATACCAAGTCTGTACCCAAAAGCCTAACCTCGCCAGCTCAAACCAACCTACTGGAGATCTACACCACCTCCCATATAAAGCCTCATATAGAGCCATCTGAATACTCGACTGATAACTGTTGTTATATGCAAACTCCGCGAGTGGCAAAACTTGTCCCATGAACCCCCAAAATCAATTACACAAGCAAGCAACATGCCCCCCAATATCATAATTGTGCGCTCGGACTGTCCATCCATTTGAGGGTGAAAAGCTGGGCTCAACTCAACTTGAGTACCCAACTCTCGCTGCACGGCCCTCCAAAATTGTGATGTAAACTGAGTACCTCTATCTAAAATGATGGAAATTGGGATACCATGCAGACGAACAGTATCTCGGATATAAATCTCAGCTAACCGCTCTGAAGAATAGGTAGTACACACAGGAATGAAATGCGCGGACTTGGTCAGCCGATCCACAATCACCCAAATAGCATCGAACTTTCTCAGAGTTTGTGGGAGTCCAACTATGAAATCCATGGTGGTCCGCTCCCACTTCCACTTTGGAATCTCTATCTGCTGAAGCAAGCCACCCGGTCTCTGATGCTCGTATTTCACCTACTGACAATTGAGACACCGAGCTACAAACTCCACTATATCTTTCTTCATTCTCCTCCACAAATAGTGCTGTCTCAAATCCTGGTACATCTTCGCGGCACTCGGATGGATGGAATATCGTGAGGTCTGGGCCTCCTCCAGAATCAACTCCCGAAGCCCATCTACATGGGCACACATATCCGGCCCTGCATCTTCTACCCCCGTCATCACCAATAGTCACAACTCTAGCATCATTGTGCTGAACTCTGTCCTTGAGGACAAGCAAATGAGGATCATCATACTGGCGCTCTCTGATACGATCAAACAAGGAAGACCGAGAAACCACACAAGCTAAGATCTGACTGGGCTCCGAAATATCCAACCTCACAAATTGATTGGCCAAAGCCTGAATATCAACCGCAAGAGGTCTCTCCCAACCAAGAATAAATGCAAGACTGCCTATACTCACTGCCTTCCTACTCAGGGCATTCGCCTTTCTCTGATGGTAAAAAATAGTAATATCATAGTCCTTTAGCAGCTCCAACCATCTTCGCTGCCTCAAATTGAGATCCTTCTATTTGAACAAGTGTTGGAGGCTACGATGACCAATAAACACCTCACAAGACACGCCATAGAGATAATGCCTCAAAATCTTCAACGCATGAACAATGCCAGCCAACTCCAAATCATGAACAGGGTAGTTCTTCTCATGGGGCTTCAACTGACGAGAAGCATAAACAATCACTCTACCCTCCTACATCAACACACACCCGATACCAATCCGAGAAGAATCACAATATATCGTATAAGAACCTGAAGCTGATGGCAAAACTAACACTGGAGCTGTGGTCAAGACAGTCTTGAGCTTCTGAAAGCTCGTCTCACACTCATTCGACCACCTGAAAGGAGCACCTTTTTGAGTTAATTTGCTCAAGGGTGACGCAATAGATGAAAATCCTTGGACGAACCGATGGTAATAACCCGCTAATCCAAGAAAGCTACGAATCTTTGTGGCTGAGGATGGTCTGGACCTCCTCTATCTTCTTTGGATCAACCTGAATACCCTCACTGAATACCACGTGCCCCAAGAACGCCACTAAACTGAGCCAAAACTCACACTTGGACAACTTTTCATAAGGCTTCTCCTCCCTCAACCGCTGCAATACAACTCTCAAATGCTCAGCGTGCTCCCCCTAGCTACACGAGTACACTAGAATATCATCAATGAATACAATAACAAACGAGTTGAGATAAGGCCAAAACACGTTGTTCATCAAATGCATGAAAGTTGCTGAGGCAATGGTTAGCCCAAAAGACATCACAAGGAACTCATAACGATCATATGGGGTTCTGAAAGATGTCTTAAGAATGTCCGAGTCCCTAATCTTGAAGTGGTGATACCCTGACCTGAGATCAATCTTGGAGAACACTCTCGCTCCCTGAAGCTGGTCAAATAAATCATCGATACGAGGCAAAGGATGCTTGTTCTTGATTGTGACTTTGTTTAACTGCCTTTAATCAATGCACATTCTCATAGTGCCATCCTTCTTCTTCATAAATAGAACAGGCACAGCCCAAGGTGACACACTAGGCCGAATAAACCCCTTATCAAGGATTTCCTGAAGCTGCTCCTTCAACTCCTTTAACTCTGCCGGTGCCATACGGTATGGTGGAATAGAAATGGGATGAATGCCTAGTACCAAATCAATAGCAAAGTCAATATCCCTGTCCTGCGGCATGCCCGGCAGGTCAGCAGGGAATACATCCGGAAAAATCTCTCACCACCAGAACTGAATCAATAGAAAGAGCATCTACACTGACATCCCTAGCGAAATCCAAATAAGAAAGACAACCCTTCCCAAACATACGTTGGGTCTTCAAAAATGAAATCACTCTACTGGGAACATAATCTGACGAACCTCGCCACTCAATCTCTGGCACCCCTATCATAGCCAACGTCACTATCTTAGCCTGACGGTCAAAAATATCATGACACGGAGACAACCAATCCATACCCATTATCACATCAAAATCAATCATACTAAGCAGCAAAAGTTCCACTCGGGCCTCCAAACCCCTAATAGTCACCACACAAGACTGATATATGCGGTCCATAATAATAGTTCGCCTACCGGAGTAGATACACGAACAAATGAAACAAGAGACTCACGGGGTGTATCCAAATAATGAGCAAAATATGATGACACATATGCAAAGTGGAACCAGGATCAAATAATACAGACGCATCCCTGTGGCAAACTGAGACAATGCATGTGATCACAGCATCTGAAGCAATAGCATATGGTCTGGATGGGAGTGCATAGAAACGGGCCTGACCACCACCTGATCGACCTCCCCCTCAAGGGCGACCCCTAGCTGACTGTCCTCCACCCCTAGCTGACTGGGCGAGTGGTGAAGTAACTGGTCCTGAAGTCGATGGTTGACTCCTCTGCTGAGGCGGACCCCCATGACGACGAGGACACTGCCTCCATATATTCCCCAGCTCTCCACA